AAGAATAGGTGGCAAGTCCATTGGAAATGTCACACAGTTTTTATGTTGCTAGAATTCCCTACAAAGTTTTTGTTTGGTTCTTGCAATATGTTTTCAGTAAGAAGTCTTTGGACAGGGCTTTATTTGGCAGTTTTTCTTGGATGTCTAATGTCTATCTATAACAGAAACAAATCATCAGGTGGACCTGAAGAAGATCTGGTTCAATATGAAGACTTCTGGATTTTGTTTGTTAAGGAAGCATTTGTATCTGGTTTAGAAATGTTTCTTGAATGCTGACGAAGGCTGCACATCCTGAGCGAGGACCAAGCTTGGACCCGAGGCCCAAGCACATGCACAGGTGACTGCTTAGGCCTGGGGCCACACAGAGTCTTCCCTGAGAAGAACAACAACTCTTTTCTGACAGATTTTATCTTACAACAGGGAATGTTTTTTAGCCAACCAGCAGCAAGGAGATGTTCCCTTTCTGTCAAAAGACCTTTGTATGGGTCTCCTCACTGTCATGTAGACCCCAATACTTTTTTAAGCATGAGAAGTCAGAGCCACCAACATTTTTACAGCAAGGCAGATGAGAGTGCCACATATGTAGCACGTCAGCTGCAGGTCCAGTAAAACAAGCAAAGGAAAACCCCTAGATGACCTTTAGAGGTCCCTTCCAACCCTAACTATTCCATGATTCTATGAAAAGCTAAGCCACCACTGTGTTCTTTCTTTTTCCCTATGCAGATACAGCCCTGACGGCTCCTGAGAGCGAAAAGTCACCCAGGAGGAGTGTGAGATGGCTATCAGGAAAGCACAACACTCCTAAGAGATAAGATGGCAGTAAGAGGCTGTTTCAGCAGCAGTAAGGTGTGTGTGCAGGCATAGGGGCTATTCACCAGTCTATGGCTGACCTTCATTCCCCTGTTTGTGTCACATCCATTCTGTTGTAGTCAACCTTGCCTTCTTTCAAAAAAGGGTCTTTTGTGTGCTTATTAACACTATTAGCACTGGCTGTTTTCTAATTCTGGATAATAATTGCGCAACTCTAATTACTGTAATTACTATGCTCCTGGGGTGAGGTTTTATTTTTTGTAATTATTTCTAGTGATTTTTTTGGTAAATACTTTGTTATATTAAAAGCATGATACACAATCATGAGTCCTTGCAGCACATTTATATATCAACCACCTCCACTGAATTTCATCAGTGCATTTCACCATTTATTAATCAGATATTACTAAATTTCTTCTGCCTCAAGCAAAAACAAGGAGTGGGAGAGAAAGTGACTAGTGACAAATGACAAATGATGTGACATGCCAAATTTGATTCTGCCAACCAAGTATTAGTACCAGCCCAACAAGAGCAAAGATGGAGGTGACAGCTAGATGGCACAATTGAATATATTCTACATCATCCCAGAATAACTCTTTAAGGAGGAAAGAAATGTTTCCATGTGTGCAAATGTTGAAACACTTCAAGAAGCAACCTGAGATTTTGGCCAGTACGTGGACCTTGATCCAGTTCCCATTGCTTTCCACAGAAGGATCCAGCTCTGTCTTTTGGAGTCTGTACTCTAGAGCAGTCACTTGGGAGTAAGCAAGATGTTCTCGTGTCTGTTTTCTGATCACCCCTACACTAGTGGGATAAAAAGTTTTGTTTCTTCTGGAATAATCCACCAGATTATGCTAAGTCTCTCAGGAAAAGATGTTGTCTGAAATTACACTACTATCTTCAGTTGCTCTAGCACTTACAAACATGAGCATGGAGGCCTCTCGCATTAATATAATCCAAAAGACATTATTCTGAAATAGCTTGTGGTCACACTGATATATTTTTATGAGTCTTGGTTTTGCTTTTTACCTGTTAGTGTGTGGTTTGGAAAATTCTGATTCTTGCACTAAAATGCAGGTATATTATACCATTAAGTACTTGTCATTCCCTTTTTGTGAACTTCATTGTGAGTGGAAAGTTGTTGACCCCAGCATGAAGAAGATAGAGACCTTTTTTCAAGGCTGCTTCAAGGGCTGCTTATTTGTTTAGGTTTTTTGTACAAGTTCTTATGTCAGCCTAGGCCAATCTTAACTAAAAACCACTTCATCATCCATTATCAAAGAACTGTTCATGCAACTCAGCAATGATTTTTCTAAATGACTGTGAGACCTCATTTAGATTTTTAATAAACAGTCACATTCTAATGAGGTCTTCATAAAACTGACTAAATATGTTTAGAAATCATTAGCTTAAATTACCAGTACAAAAGTCTCCTTAGGGAGCCCTGCAGATTTTGTGATAAGACTTCTGGCAGATGGATTAGTATAACAGCACAAGTGAGTTCTGAATTTCCACACAAGCAGTGTAAATGTGAGTGACTGGGTAACAGGCTACTAGATAGAGAGCTAAATGTCCCTCAGGTGGGTTCATTAAAGACAGAAACAATCAAAACACATTTCTGTGCCATTTAAATACCAGGTGCACAGCAGTCTGCAGGTGCCAGAAACACTGACAAGGGTCCCTTGCTGGAACACACAAGAGCTTAAAGGCATGCATGGTTTTGACAAGTATGCCTCAGATAATGACAGATATTGGCAGATGTACCCAGACCCTGCTGGAGGGTAATGCAGGGACTGAGTCATTTGCAGCAGGTGCTTGCATTAGGGACAGCCTCATGGTGATTCCTCCATCCGCAATTAAAACAGTCCTGATGCATAATGCTCCAGGGCAAGAAGCGAGTTCCTAGCACTGATTTAATGACTATCCAGCCAGTCCTGGTAAACAAACACACATACGCCCCCTCAATGATTAATTCATGAAGGACGTACACTGTGTGGCAAACATATCAAATAGATATTCCTCTTTCCTGAAAATATAAAGGAATTTTCCTCCTTGGCTTACAAGAGGGTCAAGAGGGTTAAAAATTAAAAATAATAAACCCCTATAAATCTTATACCAGCAATAGCAATTGAAATAGAAAACCTCGAGGTTGGGAAGGTTACAAGGTTTGCCCTGCAGGAAAGCTACCAAAAGGCCCATTAAAATCATTCCTAATCAAGGTGGCACAGAGCTTGTGTTAGGGGTTGCGGGACAGATGGTGTGTTTGTAACATGCCTCCTTGTTGCTGATGGTTCCAGCTCTGGGAGCGGGACAGAAGCACCAATGGAGGAGTGACTGCATTGTTCTGTGGCTCATACAATCTCATTTCCGTTAAAAGTGCATTTCAATTTCTGCTCTCTGATCTCACCTATGTTGGCCTCCAGAGAAAGTGAGAACAAAGTCATTTCTACCACTGCCAGAACCAACAAAGCCATAGATCTGTATCCCACTAGGACTCTTGTACCCTGAAGAAATCTCCATGGTGGCACAAACTGTTGCTTGATGCTAAGGGAATGTGCTGTGTACCTAAACGTTGTGAGTTGAGGCCGCCAATACTGGCACCAAGACTGGCATCTCCCTGGCTGATACCTGACAGTTCACTCTAATTGATGCTTTTGAATACTAACTTTAGGAAAACAGTATGTGGTTTCATGCAGTATGCTATTTTTGTTCTTAGGCTTGTTTATCCATACCCTGAAAACATCCCTTTTTAAGTTGTGTGCTTGGATACTTATGAATGTGTATAAAGCTTTAATGAAGAGGTTTGCTGGAGAGCTTCCCACTCCTACAAATCCATCCATTTTGAATTGATATGTGACCATCCAACTATTTCTACCTTCTTCCTCACTCAAGGGACTGAATTTTTAAGGCAGTCTCCATGATCCTTTTTTGTCTCTGCAATTAGCCGTACATGCGTTCCTGTAGCAGGTGTTAATTGCAGTCACAAATCCCATCTTTTTTATATCTAAAAATAATACTGGCACCTGATCTGTTGGCAGGCTTGGCACACAGATATCTAAACGTTAGGATTTATATTAACAATTGACAAAGGATATAAGGAAGAGTAAATTGAGATTGTAAAACCAGACTTGCTGAAAAGGAGACAAGAGCTGACACTTTGACTGACACCACATAAACAGTGCTCTCTCTCCTCATGCCAATGCCACAGGGCAGAGGGGTATCAGCCACTCCACCAGCGTAAAATTAAAAACATCTCTTAAAACCATGTGGCTCACACCAAGATATGTGCACTTGACTTCTTATTTCAACACTTCAATTTACAATAATTGCAGTTGCAATAAAAGCAGTGGGTTTTCTTCATTCCAAATGAAAGCTATATGCCCAGTTCCCAAGAAAATTTTCTTGAAAAAAACATCCCAGATGAGAACTAAGACACCAGTGCATAGACAGAGCAGTGAATTAAAAGACTCAGTTATTGATGGTTGTGAGAAACAAAGAAAATGGTTCCATTCAATACTTGTTGAAAACAAAATTAGCCATAATGACTTGAGTAGGAGGCCCACTTTAGAAGTTATCAAGCAAAGAAAGAAAAGTACACGGTATCAACCAGGTAACTCAAGCTTTCCTTTACTACTCAACTCCTGAAGAAGACCAGATTTAGTGTACAAATGAGTAAAGCTAATTTTTTCTGTTTTAGTCCAGAAGGCTTACAGGAAGGAAAACCCAAACAAGCCAGGTTGGTTTAGACTAACACACTATGAAGAAACTGCAATTTCATAGTTTCACTACCTTTCTCAGACATCTGTTTCAGAATTACTCCCTCTCAGCCTCCCTTAAAAAAAAGATGACAAGATACCTTGCTCTGTAACCAGTTCCCTGGTTTCCCTTAATAGAAATGGTATGTCCGAGATACACACAAAGATATGACACTTTCCCTCTTTGGCAGTCTTTGCAGGCTGTGCTGTACAGAATGCAGCTTCATCAGTTACTTTTTCATTGTGCTAATGTTATCAAAGACAAGCATCCAAGGCATGTTTAAAAATAATTGATAATGAACCTCTTAGCAGAGGCAGTCATAAATATTTTATGTGCTATACTCAGTATATAAGCATCTTGTTGGTCTGCTATTTAATTTCTAAAAGCAAACACCTTGGAAGTCTTTCATCTTTTTAAGTACAAAAATCACTTACCCTTCCCACTTCTACGAGATTAGTAACCATGATTATGCTGGCTGTGTTTTCATGCCATACCATTCTCCAAAAGTCATATATTGTCTCCTGCATTGGTCCTGAAACAATAAATCAAAGGAAAGGTTACTTTCTGAAAGTCTCATGATTGGAAGCTTGTCTCTGGGGAACTTTGAGAAACCGTGACTATACACATATATTCATATCACTATCATCATATTTTTCATTTAGGGTCAATTTCTTTTCTGTCATCCCACCTATCTGCATTTAAGTTATTTTTCCCCTGAAATAGTGCTCTGAAAGAAAGTTAGTTCTCCAGCATTTAGGTATTTATCTCTGTAATACCCAGAAGTGGAATTATAAAAAATGGATAACATTACTCTTTCTCTTAATAATTGGATGATAACCTAGGGAAGGTGTATTTGGAATGAAATGAGCCTCAATGGACCATATGGCCTTTCCTGGTTTCTTATTTTCTTAGTATACACCATCCATCAAATTACCCCAGCTCCTAAATTGTACTTCCTGAAGTGAGACAGAAGTTATATTTTTTTGCTGCAGTATATCACTTTGCAAAACAGCGGGGAAGGCGGTAAAGAACCCTGGCATGCCATGGCAGCCATGTCCTCTGCAGTGCTTTCCCCAACAACCCGTGCACTTTTGCAGACAAACAGGGCTTCCTCTAGCATCGTGCTAAAGCTGGGTACCAGCCCACAGGAAATGTTACAGAAATGTAAAATGTTGAGAACAACTGTATCACTTTGTGTATGCCTGGTCCTGTCTGTTTCTAGCCTACATGTCTTACCCATGATGTTTGGTGTGCCACCCCAATTTTAAACCACTGCTTTAAAATCACTGAGCCAATAAGAATAAAAAAAATATAAATACTATCAGCTACTATAAACTTAACATCCATACTGAATCCATTACTGAACTGCCACACTGCAGTAAGCAATTAGTGGCTTATTTAGAGGAATGCCTTAAATCAGCTAATTGGAGGACAAATGGATAATGTATTGGCCTAAGTGTTCCTCTAGTGAAGAAACCAACACTCTTAAAGCATTACAAAACCATACGTTGACAGATTTGGGTAGTTTGGCACCCATGTTTTGGTACTTTGAGCTCCCTTTGAAAATGAAATTTTCACTCTCAGAGTCAAGTACTTAGCGAAAAATGTAGTAATATATTATTACTATATTATCATGGCAAGGGGGTTGGACTAGGTGATCTTTGAAGATTCCTTCCAACCCAAACCATTCTGTGATACTATGACTTTGTGGTTCTATGATATTATTGGCAAGTCAAAACCAACTCACTAGGCAAATAACATCACAGTTATGATGTAACTTACTTAGAACTCAAGTTTAAGAAAAAGGATGGTAATAGCCTAAAACTTTTGAATTTTTAGAATTTATTTTTATTTTCAGCAATTTCAAAGGATAATTTTATCATCCATAATTTGCCTAGACCATTTAAAGAAGTTATGTATTCTTCCCCTTACTTTCTCTGCTTTTAAAAATGCTGCATATATAGTTAGTTTCACAGGTTTCCCTATAGTCACTCAACTTGTCTTTTACTTGCTTTGGTAGTTCATATAACAGGAGAAAAAGCCATTTAAAACAACAGGAAGCTATGACTATTAGAACACAAGAAATGTCAGAAGGTCTCAGAGTAGAAATAACAGCAGAATCTAAAACTAGAGTTTCTGAAATTACCGAATTCAAGCTGATGTTGTGGCTGCAAAACTGGACACCTTTTTTTTCTTTTAATTTACAGCACAGAACAGTTGATACTTTTGCAAGATTTCATTCTGAAGTATGATAAGAGTTAAATCACTCTCCACCATATGGGCATTTACAATAAGTATTTTACTTCTACATAAGTGTCTTGGATATGTAATACAGACATGGTCCAAGTGCAATTTTGAATGTCCACAGTAAGATAATTGATATACATTATAGTGAAAGTTTAGCTTGCTTGTGTTTTAATAATGTAGGATTCAACATAGCTTTTTCGGCAAATAAAATCACAACAGCATTAGAAAGGTTTTGGGCCAACCTCTCCTCCTGGTAAAAGGAACGAAACTATTTTACTCACTGTAGGAAAATGCTATCTCTGTATAGCTCCTTCCTTCCTCTCAAATCTCAAACAAATATTCAGCAAAATTACTATTGCTATCATCTTTGAAAGACTGTAGTTAAAAATAGGATTAGGAAAAGGCAGTTTTCCACAGAGTAGTGTCCTGGAAAGAGTCTGCAAGTTCATGATACATTATTAAGATTATTTAAGCTTGATCAAGGACAAAAAATAACAACACTACTGCTTCAAGAATCCTGATTCACAACCTGGTTTAATGGAGAAAATCTAAATGGCTCCACTGCATTCTATCACCATAGGATTATGTGATGTTTCAAGATTGTTCATCTGAATATGTCTTCAGCAAAGCTGCAGGAAAGGTGAGAAAAGATCCTCTGTCCACATAGCCCTCTTCTTTTCCCCTTGCAAGAAGCCAGAATCTTTTAGAAACTGAGGGGCAATGTAGCAAGTTTCTTTATGTATTATTTCAGTTTTCTTTCCTACAGATTCACTTGAGATACAACATGGTTGGGCTCTAGTTTGTAACAGTCATTTATTTTTGACAGCTCTGGGATAACCTGCAACAATTTATTCCTGATGGTTTTTTTTTCTACAGACAGCATAATTTGTCTCGTGATTTAAAGATTCCTACATTTCAGATCCTGAAATCACAGATTACAACTGGGGAGAGAGCCTAAACACTAATTTCTTCCTAAAGATTTTGAATTTGTCATTCATTATAAAGAATAAAAAAAGATAATAAATTATGAGAAAAATAAATCTTTAGAAAAAGTAATAGCATTTTTCAGGCCAGAGAAAGAGCTGAGCTCTGACAAGTCTTTCAAGCGTGATTCCAAATGTTCTTCCAGAAGAAATGTCCTATTCTGCAGTGCTGAGTACGCTCTTCTCAATCTTACTATCCAAATGATAAGACAATCATAATTAAAAGTGCTTAACAGGATTTCCTGCTCTCCTCAAGTATTCTCAAGTGTTTTCTTGCTTTTCCTCTCCATGTAGCCTCCAAACTTCTTTCATGTTCAGGACACTGAAAGGAAAAAATGACCCGAAAACCTACCTTAAAGTCTCAGAAAGTAATTCTTTTCTACCCCATTTTTCTTTTCTTCTTGACATTTTCAAATTATTTTCTGACATATGAATAAATTATTACTTGTCTCCAGCCAGAATTGAAAAGCAGTAGAAGCTAGGTAGGGTTGGAGGATTTATTGTCATGAAGAACTGAACAATTTGATTCCAGAGACTCATGGTAGGGAGAGAAAGAGCCTGTAATTGTTCTAAGCATCGACTTAACAGATGTGTGCACAATAGGCAGGAAGGTTATTCTCAGCAGTTGCCCCCTTGCGGGAGGAGAAGGTCTGAAGAGAAGGTACTGTGCTGCCTAACAGTAAGCCTGCGGCATATCCCATTAGCTACACAATATAGTAGCTGGTATCAAACATTTCTGCTGCAAAAAAAAAGAAATCAACAACATACTGCAACCAGAAGATGAAAAGCAAAGGAAAACAAGAAAAAGAAATCAACCCTCCAAACCCCAAGCTAATTAAATGCGTTATTGAAAAAACTCAACAGAAATGATCGGTTGTATATATCACAACCATTAGTTGTATTACTGGTAGTTGTTAGTTGCTGCTCTGGGACTGCAAACATACTAGGAAATGGAAAATCATGCAGCTTTCAAGAACGGTTTAAACTCTTAAGAAGCTGCTTCTGTACACAGAGCTTTCTAGAGCCTCTATTTCTGCTTGTTATTGTGAGACCCAGTTCTACCAACTGGTATTGCTACTGGGGTATGTAATCAATTTGAATGTGATAAACTAGCCCAGAATACAGGAAAAAGTGTTCAGATGTTGGAAGGAAAGCAAACGCACAAAGAAACAAGTAAAACCTGAATCCTGAAATGTCCCCGGCGCTTACTCAGATGGGACTTGTAAATCTATGGGTCATTTTTCAATTTCTAGAAAAGCAGGCAGCTTAAACAAGGAACAAATAGCTTCTAAAACCTTTTTCTAGCACAGAATGTCAAATCCACAAGGTAATGTTTGGTCCACCTGAGACCAAACTCAATGATAGATATTAAAGCTAGAAATGTGCAGAAAACTAACAGATGCCTTTAAGCTCCAAAGGCTCCCCAGGGACAGTGAATGGGCAGTGGTAGCCATTAGCATGTGTTGAGAGAGGCAGCGGACTGACAAGATGCAAGACTTATATCTGCAGCAGTTAAATTCCATCTTGAAAAGAGTGCAATAAACCTCCTTCCAGTGAGTAGACGCGTCCCCCCCATGTGAGGAGGTGGTTATAAAATGGTCCCCTCACCTAATGGTTACCGCAGTTTCTAGTAGCAATGATAACTGTCTTCACTTTTTTTCTGAAGTAAAACTTGCTGCTTGCTATTGTGACTGCCTACAACTTGAGCACTCAAGGACAACTAGCTAATACGCCTGCATAGAGGGAGCTGCATTTTAGCCCTTTACTATGTATGATCATAGTAAAGATGTATGTACAAACATCTTTACTATGTATGATCCCTTCAAAATGAACTTGAGATACAGTAAATGTTTTCTTATTAACAGATATGGCTGCGTGGCAAAAAAAGCCAAAATGCAATGATTCCCTTTGCAACTACATTGTCAAAACCCCCCAAACCCATTACGTAGCAGAAATTGTTCAAAAGACACATGAAAGTGTAAAACCAGAGATTAAAAAAAAAAAAAATTACAGACTACAAGCTAATAGATTAAAAAGTTCAACAATTCTCCTTTTCCCAATGAACCTCTTAAATGGGACAGACTAGCTATTAGTAGGATAACTTACAGAGAATTTCGCAGGAGGAAGCAAAATTACGGGGTTACTAATGCTCTGCCAGTCCAGTGATCTGATAATCTGTAAGTGCCTGTTATTTGCTCTTTTAACCATGCTAGAATTCGGAGGTAAGAACAAAATGCCCTTTCAGAGAAAGTTATGTAAAAAACTGCAGTTAAATGTAACTTTAAACTATCACTGACTGCAG